AAGAGCCCACTACTTTAACATGGTCACACCATGGGCACCAAGAGAAAGCAAACCCTTGGTCAATTGAACCGCGGATAACCATGTTGTAAACAGAGCTTTGAGTCTGTAAGAGAGTTAGAGAGAGCAGCTCGATCCCCTTCCCTACTCTAATGAATCTAATGCTAATTAATAACTTTCAGTTCACAACTTCTAAAATGGACTAAAAAAAGTAAAATGTTACGTTAAGCTTCCAAACTTATCTTAAATTTTTTATTAAACCTCTACACTTTTATATAAGTAAATAAGTTTCTAAACTATACAATATGAACAATTTAATTCCTTTTCTTTATAATGAACTTAATGTCTATTTGTGTATGATCACTTATATAAATAGAGTATTGACATGTTATTGCCACCATACAAACAACAAATAAGCATTAAGTTTATTGTAAGAAAAATGGTTAAATTGCTCAAATTGACAAGTTTAATGACTTATTTGCTTCAATAAAAATTTAGAGTAATTAGAGTGAGGAATGGCTTATAATTGTTGGGAATAGACCTTAAATTTCATTAAGGTTTTAGCAAAAATGTTAACACCAGGTATGATGGCACGGAACTACATGCGATAGAAATATAAGATGGCATCCTTTCTGACAACATTACAACTATATCCTATGTTCAAGGTCCTAATCTGCAACCAGTACCATCACCAAAGGAAGATGATACTAATGGTACTGCGAAGGAGAGACTGAAGCATGAAGAGGATGAACTTATTTGTTATAAACACATTCTCAAACTCTCTTACTGATCATCTTTATGATATTGTCAAAAGACGTCTACAAAGAAAATTTGAAATGCTTTTGAGGCAAAATGCAAACATGAAAAAAGAGTTACTAGCTATAAGTTTCTTATTGTTAAGTATTTTAAATTTGCGTTAAATGACAACCACAATCCCTCTATTGTGGATTAAGTATAAATCGTAAATTCTTATTGCCTATTTTCCAAAAAAATTAAAAAGAATCGCAAATTCTTGTGTCAAGACAAGAAGAGAACAAAAAAAGATCACTCATTCACTCCAAGTGGGGACTGTTTTATCCAAGCTTCCTCTCTATCTTGGCATGAGTACGTGAAGAAGGTTCTACATTGAAACGAAATTACAATTATGGGGCAATTCCAAACTCTCTCTAGATTGAGGCAAAAAGTTGTGCACGAGATGCATTATGGATACAACCATAAGTGTCAATTCTGGAAAGTCTCCTAAGAGCAAACTCAAGGCCCAAAGTACGAATAATGCATTAAAGAAGTTTTCTTTCCAGAAACAGAAAGCTACCCTTAAGGCCCAAAGTAAGAATAATGCATTTAAGAAATCTTCTTTGTAGAGCCTTTTTTTTTTTTTTTTGTGGGGGGGGAGAATAAACGTAGCCTTGTTTCTACTGTGAAAGGAAATGTCATTCTCCTAAAGAATGCAAGTTCAAAAATGCAACCAAGAACTTTACTTTTAGTTTTAAAGGAGAAACTGGCAACCAAGAAAATCTAATTGAAAATGAGTTCAAAGATTTGGTTGCAATAGTTTCTGATGTACTAGTTGACATGATGACTAATTAAATTGAATATAGCTGGTCCATTCAAATCAATAAATTATTGGCTTGATTCTAATGCTACAATCCATGTGTGTAACAACAAAACTCATTTAAAGTACTATGAAGAATAGACATATTTACCAACTACATTATGGGGTATTTGGATTTTCATTTGATAAACAATAATCAGTTGTTAGTTCTACTTAAATAAATTAAATATTTTAAATTATAAATAATAATAACTATCAGCTATCTAATATCATCTATTAGCTATCAGTTTTATCTAAACTGCTAATTCCAACCTCCCCCTATTACTCTTGTTATTTCATTGTTTTCATAGGAAGAAAAATATCTCACCGTCTCTCACAAATTCACAATTCGACTTGATCCATTGTTCGGCCTACTCTCTCATGGGCCAAAGGCTAAAACTAAAATCGCTAACTTTGAAATAGGGCCCGTATTTGTGTTTCTTTACAGGCCCATATTTTTCAAGCCCCCCGGTGCTTCAGCTTCGCACACTCCACACTACTTTCTTCCGGATCCGTTTTTCATTCACCGTGGAACAGTCTCCCTTTCTCTTCCGATGGCTCCTCCGCGAATTCTGCTCTGCGGCGACGTTCTCGGCCGCCTTAACCAGCTCGTCAAGCGAGTGCAATCGGTACTCATTCTCCTCTTGGCTCGCTCGGCTCTGATTCTTTAACTCAGTAACTTCTCTGAGCCTAAAACTTATCATTTTCAGGTTAACAAATCAGCCGGTCCATTCGATGCTCTTTTTTGCGTCGGCCAGTTCTTCCCGGACTCGCCGGATCGCCTCGATGAATTCATGGAATACGTTGAAGGCCGAGCTCAGATTCCGCTGCCGACTTACTTCACTGGCGACTACGGCGTTGGAGCTGCTAAAGTTCTATTGGCTGCTTCAAGGAACTCGGGAAATCTAGGCTTCAAGATGGATGGTTTCAAGGTTTCTGAAAATTTGTTCTGGTTAAAAGGCAGCGGCAAGTTTACTCTCCACGGTACGTTTTCTTGTTTTCCGTTTGTTTGGTTGCTGAGAAAGTTGAGGAAAATGGATTTGCTTTATATAGGAAATGCTTATGGTTCTTGGTTGGGTTGAGCTGATGCATACGCGAATTTTCACACTGCTTTTTTGCTTTTTAGTTGCATTTTGGCGAGACTACTTTGTGTAACTTCTTCTCTATGCAAGGAGAAAACTTGAGCATGTACCATATATAAGCTATACAAATGTCATGATGGTTAAATTTTAATTCCTGATTATGATTGTTTTCTCAATAGTAGTTGCTGAGTGCATTATTCAGATGTTAATTCTCCTAAGACATTGTGGAGAATGTGGCTTTTTTGGTAATAGCTGATTTACTGTGCTTTTATTTAGGTTTGTCTATTGTTTACCTATCTGGTAGGCAATCTTCAGAAGCTCAACAGTTTGGAACATACAGTCAAGATGACGTTGATGCTTTACGAGCTTTGGCTGAAGAACCTGGAATTGTTGATCTGTTCCTGACATATCCTTTTTGCCTTTTCCATGAATGAAGTTTTTAACTATTTAGGAAGTTTAATGCACAATGTTGCTTGTTTTTGTGGTTTCCTAGTTATTTCTTTGACTTCCTTAACTGCTTTTCACTAATGAATGGCCGAGTGGGGTGACAAACAGAGCTTCTGTATCTGATGTTCCTGTGGGTATCTCTGATTCGTCTGGTAGTGATTCTACCATATGTGAGTTAGTGGCAGAGATCAAACCACGGTATGTGACCTTATGAAAATTATTCTAGGCATCATGTGTGCAGACATACTGGTATGGTGGTATTCAACTTGTTTGAAAGTTCTTCTTCACATTTCTTATTCTTGTCTAAATTACTAGACATTAATTTTAAAATTCTAATTAAATTTTAATATTGCACTTGGACTTGTGAAAATTACAATAACTGAACTTTTGGGGGACCTAGAATCTGGTTTCTGTAATTTGCATGGTAAGAACTATGCTCTTGCTCTCACTGTGGTTTTAGAGATTAAAAGGTAAATCAAAATTAATCTTCTGCTTAGGTCAAAAGCACCAAACCTGATGCATTTCTTGAGTACAAACCTTATCATGAAAAGAAAATAACGGGTATTTCTTCCCTGATGTTTGTGATGAAATATGCCTCCGTCAACCAGTATGTTTCTTGTCCATCCTACGTTACCATTTAGAAAATGTTGCAGTTTCCAAGGACCCCTGTCCAACTTAGGTATCTCCTCTCAATATTAGGAACTATGCTGACATTGTTGTCTGTGACATTAGAGATTAGTGGTCTGAGGCCAAAGTGTAAAAAAGGGTTCCTGCAATAAGGATGTAGATTTTGAGAAATATCTTATTTTATTAGCCAATTAGCAGAAAAGTTTTTTACACAAAGGGATTTATTTTCTGTTACATATGAAACTAATATTCTAGGATGGAGATTTTAACATGATAATTCTCTGTGAAGAACTTCAGGATTCAAGATGCAACCAGTAAGGGTGAATTTAGAACCATTCTACAAGCAATTTGTTTTCAGTTGTGTTTCTACTAACTTAAGAAGTGTTAAGTTTCTCAACCTAAAGGCTATTCTCCTTGGTAGCTATCACATCGCAGGTACTAAGGGTGTATTTTATGCTCGTGAACCTTACTCTAACATTGATGCTGTACATGTGACTCGGTTTTTGGGTCTTGCTCCTGTTGGAAATAAAGACAAACAGGTCTGGTTGTCTTAAATCTACTAGCTTGCTGCAAGTTTTCTATTCAATAATACCTCATCCATATATGTTGAAGTATTGATCACATTTATTTAACTTCTGCTTCCTGCAACTGCATCACAGAAATTTCTTCATGCACTTTCTCCTACTCCATCTTCTGTGATGTCAACTGCTGAGATCAGCATGAAGCCACCAAACACCACCTTATCACCCTACACACTATCTGAGCAAACAGATCATCCTAAAGATGCCATGAAGAGGACTATTGATGCTGTTTCTGATTCACAATATTGGAGATATGATGTCTCCCAAAAACGGAAAAGGCATGCTGATGAAGATAGTGATAGAATGTGTTTCAAGTTTGTATATTCGGGGTCCTGTTCCCATGGAGAAAAATGCCACTTCCGCCATGACTCAGATGCAAGGGAACAGTTTTTGAGAGGTGTTTGTATTGATTTTATCATCAAAGGGAAATGTGAAAGGGGTCCAGATTGCAACTTCAAGCACAATTTACTGGATGAAGGTGAGAGCCATTCTCATAGGAGACCTGGATCTGGCAGTGGTCACACTAGCAGGTTTGTTTTATGTTTCCATCATCATTCTTCCAGTTTCAGTGACAGGTGGGAGATTGCATATTGATGATCTTATGCTTTGGCCTCAAAAAGTTTGAGAAGAAAAGTTTGATTAACCTGTCTAATACTAAATGCTTCCTTTTTTTTATTTGTATAGAATTTATAGGCAGCAATAGTAAGTGTCAATTCTGCAACTGGATGCAGGTCAAAAGAGTGCTGGTTTTGTTTGTCGAGCCCAAGTGTGGAGTCACATCTAGTAACTAGCATAGGAGAGAGTTGCTACTGTGCAGTGGCCAAAGGTCCACTTGTCCAAGATCATTTGCTTATAATCCCTATTGAGCATTTGCCAAATACACTCTCTGTACCGCCACAATTTGAAACTGAACTTGTTAAATTCCAGGATTGTCTAAAGATGTACTATAAGAACCAAAAAAAGGAAGCAGTGTTCTTTGAGTGGGTATCAAAACGAGGTACTCATGCCAACCTTCAGGTAAAACAAATTTCTTCTACTAATGTTTTTATAAGAGCTTGCTTATGAGAATATACTTTTATAATTGTATAATTTGGAAGCAGCATTGTGATTATAATCTTGCACCATCTTTTTTGTCCACGGGGTGAACATGAATATAGCTTACAAAGGAAGTCTCAATTTACTGTACAGAGTGACTTAATTGAATAAGTGAGCTGAGGAAAGTTTCATTTATATTTTTTTAGCTGTTCATAAACAACTTCATGAATAATATTAATTTGTAAATATGTATAAGTACATATTACTGCAATAGTTAGACTCACATATTTCATGATAATACTATTTTGAGGAGATTAAGTAAACAGTTAAAAAGAAAAATGTTGATGTACCCTCCACTGATGGTGGCAACCGGATGCAGGGAAATTGATGCACAAACCTTTTGATACAATTTTAAAGATGACATTAAGGTTCTTGGGTTATTACTTATTTAATGTCCTAATGTGCCTTTTGTTTCTTCTCTGTAGGCAATTCCTGTTCCATCATCCAAAGTAGCTGCTCTTAAAGATATATTTAGTTTGGCAGCTGAAAAGTTGGGTTTCACATTTATGATCAATAAATGTAAGTTTCCTTCATTTCAGTATGTAGTACA